ATCGGCTCCCTCGTTGCCAAACTAGTCTCAGCATGTTTTCATTTATAAAAAAAAAAAAGGTTTTTCATTAATCAAGCCCGATATATTCTTTTTTCCTAGTCAATCGGAAAATTCGCGTTAAGACATGCGTGAGATTGTAGAAGATTGTAAGAGAAATAACGGAGCGAATTCTGTAATAAAGTGCCGTTAACACTCTTGCTCTGCGTTCCGAAATGGCATTACATATTTAATCTTCGTCCGTAGACTGTGTGTCGTCAGCATTCCAAAAATCACGATCATTTTCTCGCGCGACTAAAACACGTTCGCCACGAGGTTTGTTCCGGAAACGAACTCTTTCTTTCGCAGCTCGAAGAGCTTCGATCATGTGCCGCTGGAACTCTGATCGAGTCGGTTTTGGAAAATATTTATTTTTACACACTGCATCTAAAAAAAGAACGTAAAATGTTTTTCTTCATATTGGGTGCTTTCCAGTTACATACACTGTGTTAGACAAAGTCAGTTTATTGGCTATAAAATATCTTAGATATTTTATATTATATATAGCCAATAAACGGATTTATGGACAACACAGTGTCACACAGTGTACGTAGCTGGAAAGCACCCATTAAGAATTATTAATGTGTGTATAAATAGAAATAAAAAAAATCATACCATAAATTAACTTTACGAGCCGTATCTTATATAAAGGTAATCCTCCCTTGCGAGGATTAGTGAAAGAAAGTGCGAGATTATCTAACCAGGTGAAAGAAAGTGCGAGATTATCTAACATGCTTTCTTTAAGATATAAGTTTACAGTTTCCTTGACATTAAAGCCATCAATGTTGAAGAAATATTGAACCTACAAAAAAATACACAAAAAAAATGAAAGAAATACTGTGTATCATTAATATAGTTAATTAGCAATAATTATATATTTTAATTTAATTACTTTTATGAATTACTATGTAATTGCTTGATAATTACTTTAAGTAATACTAAACAGATGTGACGAAAAAATTCTTGCCCTACCACATTGGTATATTGACACTCGTCGTCATCTATTTCTTCAAAAGCATCCATATTTTCCTTGGATGTTATTGGAAAATATTTCGGTTTATACGTTAAAGTATTTGAATTCTGCACACTTTTCACAATTTTTTATAGCAATGCATTCATCTTTCTACATAAAAAGAAAAAATATAAAACATTAAGAAACATTAAAATCAACGACGATCTTATAAAAACAATTGCAATACAAACTTGAGTTCTGTTTCTACACGTTCAAGGTGGTCCTCAATATTCCTGCAATTGTTACTTTATGTTTACAATATACATCAATATTACTTACAATTGTACGGTAAAAAAAAATGGTAAATATATACTTTAGCTTACCCTCCAACAATAACTTTTCTATTCACATATATTATACAACTCACCCTTCTGAGTAACATATCACAAGTTTTAGACAATTTTAGGCGTTTTTATAAATAACTTTTTAATAAGCAATGAATGACCTAAAACTTGTCGTATGTTACTTAGAAGGATGAGTTGTATAATACATGTGAATAGCACAGTCATTATTGGAGGGTAAACTAAAGTGTATATTTACCGCCACATGCCTTAATATCATTTGGTACACACTTAATCTTATTATATCTTTGTTCTATATCTAGAAGGGCAATTCAATAAGTACTGGCAAATAACATTTTATTGTGACGTATATCGTATATACATATATAAATATAATATTTTAGAAGAGATAGGAAATGGCTAATCCGAGTTCAAGCACGGATGTAGTAGTGCTATAATACCTAAATTGGTAAAACCTTCCTTTGTTAGGAAATAAAGTATTTTATTAAAAGTAAAGTATAAAAAAATATAGAAAAAATTAAAAAATAGAAAATATTAAAAAAATTGTTAAGACAAAAAACCACAGCATACTATATATGTGTGCGTGCGTGCGTGCGTGCGTGCGTGCGTGCGTGCGTGCGTGCGTGTGTGTGTGTGTGTGTGTGTGTACAAGGAACTAAGAATTGATTGTGAGCGTTTTTGTCGACTATAATATTAAAAAACTATTTATGTTCTTCGAGGGCATCCAAGTTGGATTTATTATTATTTGTAATTGCGTTCTGTATTAGCATCAAGACTTTTTCTTTGTATGATTTTTTTTATCACTGAAGAGAGTTCACAGCTGAACCAAAACGTATGATGATTTTTTATAGACTTTACTTTTAATAAAATATTTTATTTCCTAACAAAGGAATTTTATCAATTTAGGTATATCACTACTATATCCGTGCTTGAACTCTGATTAGCCATTTCCTATCTCTAAATTTATATTCTTTTGCGAGTTCGTTTTTTCCTAAATATAATATTTTTTCCTAGTTTATCATCGTCCTTTTCAAAGCACATTTCTCTTCTTTGGACAAGGCTTTGTATTCCTTGAGAAAAAAATTATAGTTGGTTGCGAAACCTGAAATACAAATGCTTCCTTCATTTCGTACTCGCTGTACAATCTTCGTTTTCGCAATGCTTTCTTCAACTTCCCGAACACATGATAGTCCGATAGAGCAAAGTTGGGACTGTAAGAGGGATAATTTTTGGTCTCAAATGTCACTTTTTGAATGGTAACTACTACAATAGCAACTGTTGCAGTAGTAACAGTTACCACCATTCCAAAACTGAAACTTGAGTCCAACAATCATCTCCAGTTCCAATTTTGTTCCATCAAACTTGAGTCCAACAATCATCTCCAGTTCCAATTTTGTTCCATCAAACTATCATATATTTGGGAAGCTAAAGGAAGTATTACGAGGACAAAGATTGTACAGCAAGCACGAAGGAAGCAATATATTTCAGGCTTTGCAACCAACCGAAACTTGTTTTTTCTCAAAGAATACAGGCACTTGTCCAAACATGAAAAATGTGCATTGAAAAGAACTATGACTACGTTGGAAAAATATTATATTATAAAATATTATAAAAATATATGTTAAAATATCAAATATTATATTATAAAAAATATTATATTTGTACATGGATGTGTCATATACATCTCAATAAAATATTATTTGTCCTTACTTGTCGAATTCCCCTTGTATTAATTATTATCGCACATATTCATGTTTCTGTTATACAGATATAAACATAAATAGAAATATATATATATATATATATATATATATATATATAAATATATATATATACTTATTCATAGTTTGTATTCTCTCTGACTCTGCTTTGTGGCTGCAAGTGCATTTGTTGGAACATTTGTGCAGAAACATTGTGAATAACACTATCACATTCATCAGAATGTTCTTCTAGCTGTCTTCTTATGTCATCATCAACATCTTCAATGTCCGCAGAAACTTTTGTTGCCTCTTTTTTTTTGGTGGAGCTTCATCAGAAGATGTGGTGAGATATCGCTGAGATTTGGCAACATTACGTTTTAGCTGGTCCATCTGTGTAAATACAAGAACATATCTAATATATCGAAATACATAAATATTATACTATTGATGTACTCTACAGAACAAATTAGAATAAATATATTATTATTGAAAAGTTATTTCACTTAATGATATGTATAATTGAATTTTTGTCTGTCTGATAACATAACCTAACTAAAATCTCATAAACAAATAAAATAGCAATTTCCACTAAGCAGCTAATTTAATAGTATATCTTACATGTTTGGCGAGTACTCCGTGTACCAAATTTGTAAGGTTTGTATGTTGCACGAAAATATTGCACGTAATATTATATTGATTGCACGTAGAAAAAAGGAAGTGGCGGCAATAATGTCTGGCGTCAAAATTCTTTTCATACCAAAGATGCGTTCGGGAAGCTCGCTATTAGCGCTATTCAGCGCCACCGTATCGTTCTATCCTTGTATATCTAAGGAGTAATAAAAAGAACGCGGTAGCATTAGTAGCGTGCTCCCCGAACGTACCCCAATTCTCCATGTACATAAATCGAAATTTATAATTGACTGACATGTCAGTTAAGCATGCGCACGAGCCGAGTGGCACTCACTTGGACACGGAGCAAATGGACACGTTGCAATTAGACACAAAATTTTGCCCACGGTTCAATTGGATACGGTGCAATTGGACACGATGAATTTGGACACAGTGCATTTGGACACGAAAAAAATACGCACCGCTCATTTGGACACCGAAAGTTGCACGCCGGTCATTTGGACACGAAAAGTTGCACACCGCTCATTTGGACACGAAAAGTTGCACACCGCTCATTTGGACACGAAAAGTTGCATACCGCTCATTTGGACACGAAAAGTTACACACCGGTCATTTGGACACGAAAAGTTGCACACCGCTCATTTGGACACGAAAAGTTGCATACCGCTCATTTGGACAC